CCTCCCCTCCTCTTAAGAGCCTTCCGCCCCTCCTCCCGCCCTTTGCTCGCGCGCACCTTGCCGAGCGAGTCGGTCAGCTCTCGCAGCTTCTCGTGCACAGTCTCGAGCTGGGCGAGGAGCTCCTCCCGCAGGCGGGCGAGCATCGCCTCCACCGACGCCCGCACGCCCTCGAGTCCCGCCTTCAGCTGGCTCCCCGAGACCCAACCCACCCGCTCCCACCCGAACGTGTAGATTGCGAGGCCGAGCCCGCCCACCGCGGCGCCAAAGACGACGACGGCGGTGCGCGAGCCCGACTGCGCCCGCACGCTGCGGTCGAGAGCGGCGACCGCCGCCTGCGTCGCCGCCACCGACGATGCGATCTCTGGATTCGGCGGCGGCGGCGGCGCTGACCGGCCCGTGAGCGCGCCAAAGAGGCGCTGCGGCAGGTCCGGGATGGCGCTCGAGAGCCAGCCGCTCGCTCCGTCGGAGCCGGAGCCGGAGGACGTGGCGACCGCGGCGCCGGCGCCGCCCAAAGCGAGACCCGCCCGTGCGCGAGCAGACATTGGTAGCGAGACCCAAGACCCAAAGCGACGCCCACCGAGCGCGTGAGAAAAGAATTTTACTACCCGGCTCGTGCAGCGCTGGAACAGGCCGAGCTCATAGGGCGCCGAGCTCGCCAGCTGCAGCCCTGCAGTTCTCGATACTGAGCCCTCCTCCCGACCCGCTCTTGATGTCCATCCGGTCCGCGCCGTCCAGCTGGGCGACGCCGTCGCGTACGAGCCGGCCTCGACGCGCTCGCGGCTGCCGCGGCGGCCTCGGAGGCGCGCTCGGCGAGCGGCCGCGCTCGGCGGTGCTCCTGCTGCTGCCGTGCCGCCGAGCGGCGTCGAGGCTCCAGAGAGGCGATGCCAGTGACCGGCCGCGTCGGAGGCCTCGCTCCGGTCAAGTTCCTCGCGCTCTCTCCACCTCTCTCGCCGCAGTTGCGTAGGCGACAAAATGAGCTCGCTCGCGAAAATCACAAACAGTTGGAGTGGGAAGGGGTGCTGGGCCCGAGCCTGCTTGACACTGCGGACACGGTCCGTCTGCGTCATTCCCCCCAGGCTGATTCGCCGTCTCGTACTTCCTCGCGCTTTTTCTCACCCTTGCCCAGAAGCTTCCCACGCCAAAATGCGGCGCGATGCAGTCCTGCTCGTGGAGGTTTGTGCGTTGCCGAACAGAATCCAGTGCGGTGCAGTGTGGCAGCTTGCGAGGAGCGGTGACGGGTCGTTTGCCCGTGGAGCCAGTTTGCCAAACCGGGAGGGGCAGAGCGCGGGGCCGCTCGCACTGTCACACCTCGCACATCCCGTCCTGGACACATCACTCGTGGATAGTGCGCAGCCGCCGCCGTGTGCGCCAATTCGTCGAGAGTGCGCAATGACCGGACGCTCGGGAAAGGTTTATGTAAGTACATTTGAAAATGGCCGAGTTCGTCTCAGTTATCGCCTCTCAGTTATATCGTGAGTCTTTCTCTTTGTCTCTGACGTCCGACGACATGTCACATGAAAGTCATGAACATGACAGGCGGCCGGTCTCGGGGTCTGAGACTCGCTGCTGACCGCCGACATTCCGCTCTCTGAGTCGTGAGTGTGCGCCCTGGAGGCCGGCCTCCCGAGTCGCCGGCGCCCAGTACGTCAAGCTCCCAGCTCATAGACTCAGAGAGGGACGTGGTGGGCGCAGAAGCGGGCGAGTGATGTCCGTTGCGAAAGCCCGAGGGCGGCTCGGCAGCCCCGGGTCGGCTGGCGAATAGCCTGCCGTGCCGTCAAAGAGCAGAACGCGTAAGCAGCGGCCGAGATGCGCTGTCCTCGGCCAGCGCGGGTCCTTCGTCGCGGCGTCGCGGTCTCCTGGTCGAGGAGACCGGCGCAAAGGGCGTGGCTCACTCGCGCGGCAGATTAGCGCGAGCTTCGGCCGAGCACAATGCGATTCGCCCCACCACCCATCCGAACGAGATTGAGTTCGGTCCGCGGGCACGTCGAGGGCGAATCACGCCACGCGGCGGTGGCGGCTCGGGCAACATACACACGTCCTCGAAATAGTAGCGCGCCGGAAGACCGAGGCAAAACTCCGCGCGCCCGAGACGACCTGCGCGGCGGGGACGGCTCTCTCGACTCCGCGTGCACGAGTGGGGGCCTCGGAAGCGGCGAGATGCGGCGCCGAGAGAGGGAGACATGTGCCGCTCTCGCGCCTGAGCGCCAAGCGCAGGCGTCGCGAGCCGGTGGCGGAGCCGCCGAGCGTCGCGAACGGTCCACCGCTCGCGCACGCGTGCAGCCGGTCCAGGGCGGCTAGGCAGAAAGAAGAATGGCGCGAATTGAGGCCGTACGCGCCCAGCGCGAGCCTTGTTCCAGAGCGGCTGGCTGTCGCACGAGCCGGAACTCCCTCGCACAACACTGGGCACGGGACTGGCGCGCACTGGCACTAACACAGGTACACCACGGGAGCCGCCTAAGCGACTCCTGCGAGGGTGGCGAGGCACTTAGCTCCGTGCACCCGCCCACCCCCGCCACAGGCAAGCTCATTCACGACCTGCTCTGCGA